GGCTGCCTGGGTCCCTAGGGCGCGCGCCCTCGGCCTGCCCGGCCCGGGCCCTCCCGCCGGCTCCACCTGCGCGCTGGGTCTCGGGATGTGCCCGTCCGAGATGGGGACGCTGTGGCACGTGTGGTCTCCCGTGCTCATCGGCCTGGCCGCCCTTTCCTCCGAAGGTGAGGGCCCACCGCCGCCCCGGGCCAGGACTAACTTTGCGGGGCGCGAGCGGGTTGCGTGGGGCGGGCGGCGGCAGAGCCGCGTGGGTGTGCGGTGCGCGTGCGGGCGGCGCGCTTGGGGCTGAGCCTGGGCCGCAGGTGCCCGCGAGGGAGGAGGCGGCAGGCTGCCCTCGCGAGCAGCGGAGGAACGCGGGAGTCCCAGCTGCTGCCAGCTGCGTTTTCAGTCCGCCCGTGGGATGGGAAGCCCGCGGTGGGTAGGGTGGCCGGGGCAGAGCCAGAAGTCAGGGGAGGGGATGAAAGCAGCGGAAGATGCCTGGAATTTGGAATTGACTTCCCTGCCGGCTCGGACTTGGTTGGAAATCATTTCAGAGCAGTCCTGTTGCGTGGAATGGCATTTAGTGCATCTCAAGGTGCTAAAAATACCGCGGGGACCAGCTGTGCAGAAGCGACCCGGGGCTCTGTAGGCCGGACCTCCAAGAGGTCGCAGCCCAGCTGGGGGCAGCATCCCCACGCGGCGGCGGAGCTGGAACTGGAACTGGTGACCCGGCTTGTCACTGCCGGGCCTGGCTTGAAGCTAGGGTGAAGCAGGGGTCCCCTCCTGCCTGTTGACCCCGCTGCCACCCCTGTCAGACACGCGAAGGCCCCGCAGAAATTCCTGAGAGAGAGGGTGTGTGATTCCCCCTGTAGACCGTAAAGGACCAGCGGTGGATCGGATTCTTTGCTGGTGTGTGGTCCCTGTCCAGGGCCCTGTTCCCTCAGACAAATAGCTTGGGAGGAAAGCGGGGATCCTCGGCGTCTCCAGGGTGTGTTAGAAAACCCTTTCCTCCTATCTCTCTGTGAATGTTTTCCAGCTGAGGTCTGTCTTTGAAACTTCAAAGCCAGTTATTCTGTGCAGTCTTTAACGGTGTGAATGTGCTGCTCTCGAGTTCCCGAGCGGCCGCGGAGGCGCTGGGGCTCGGGATGGGGCAGTGGTGTAGACCGTTCGCTGGCTGGCTTTCGGCGCTGATGGGACTTAGGAAGGAGGCGTTTGGTTCGCCTGCTGCGCCGTCCTTAGAGCGCAGTTGCAGGGCGCTCCTGCCTCCTGACAGTGGCTGGGACTCCGCGAGGACCGGAGCTTGGGGGACTTGGGACATGTCCGGGAAAGCACTGAGGAGGCGGGCGTCCAGCGTGCTGCCGAAGGCACAGGCGAGGGTGTAAACCAGCCCCGCCTGGGGACAGCGGCAGCTGATCAGCGCTGCCGTCGGCACGTTGGCTGTGGCTGTCACTTGGTTTTCTGATGGGGCCAGGCTGCTCTACCTCCAGGCCGCATCCTTGTTTCACTGAGGAGGGGAGAGGGTTGCTTTGTAAACAAACATGGACCGGCTGCTGCATCTGCGCCGTTCTGCGCTGCTTCCCGACCTGGTTTCTTCCTGGGGCAGAACAGGGCTGGAGAGAGCCGCCTTTTCCGGACTTCTGGGCTTCTCCAAAAATGTCCTCACATGTGCTCTCTGGGCGTGGAAGTCTCTTTTCCAAGTGGCCTTGGAGTCCCACCCCGGGATGTGTGCTTGGCCCTGTGTCTGCAGAGCACAGTCCCCCAGCCAGCTCAGAAACCGTGAGCCCCGAGTGGGCCTGAGGGGACCTCGAGTGCTGCTGGGTGCATGGAGGTGAGTTGGAGTCGCCCACAAGCCACCGCTGCTCCAGCATCATCAGTGGCATCAGACGTGTAATGTGGGATTTCGCGGTCCAGAAAGAACTCGCAAACCCAGGGAGGTTCAGTGCTTTCCCAGTGTGTTCTGAGTTCTTCCCCACAGAGCTTCTGTGACTGTGTGAAAGTTCTAACCAGCCCGAAAACAAGGAGGAGCTGTAGTGAAGCTGGGTGTGGTGATGCACGCCGGTGATCCCAGCACTCAGAAGGCTGAGGCAGGAGGATCACTGTGAATTTGAAGCCAGGCTGGGCTACAAAGTGATCTCAAGGCCAGCCTGAACTGCATAGTGAGACTCTGTCTCAAAAAGACAAAAACAAAACAGCAAAAGAAGGATGGGCTGTGTGGGAAAGGGTTTTAATTGGGAGTAAACGCGCTCACTGTAAAATGCCTAATGTCCTTAGACTGAGTGGAAAGTGGGGAATATTACCGTATGTTAAGTAACTGCTTCAGCAAGTGGTTTTTACCATGGTCTTAGAGCTTTCCAAATAGGAATCCTTGAACAACACAGAATTCACATTTTATAGCAGACCAGTGATCGTGGACTTTATCCCTGTCTGAGTTTCATGAGCAGGAAACGATTAGCTGTCACCCCCCAGCCCCAGGTACAGGAAAACACACATGCGCACCAGTGAAAAACCGCTGCTGTGCTCTGCCTCCCTGGGACCTAGGAGCTACGGCATGAAACAAAGAGTGTTGCCGGCACCTTGTCGAGACCTTCCAGGCACCTGGCCAGACCTTCCCGAGCGTGGCTTTGGGTTAACTGTCAGGTGTGTGGGGGTCTTATGTTTGAGTTCTAGTCTTTGTTGGAAACTCGATGTAGGTCACAAGTGCGCCGCCCTGCAGGCGAGCTTGTGCATTGCTGTGAGCACTGTGAGCGGAGCTCGAAATCAGTGAGAGCTGGGCAGTGTGCTGCTGCCAAGGCAGGCACCGGGAGGGACTGCTTCAGACTGCTCACCGCCACCCTCCCCAGCATCCGCCTTCTCCTGGTGCTTCCTCGCAGAGTCCTGGGGTGCAGGCAAGGAGCTGCTGGTGACGGGCGCCTGTGCCCCATCCCCAGCAGTGTGGCTGTGTGGCCATGGTGCCTCCATTCACTCATCCACCATCCACCCGTCCCTGTCCTACTTGTTCCTCCAACTATTTCCCCACCACTTGCCCTCCCGTCCCCCACCCCTCCCATCCCCCTCACCCTTCCATCCCCCATTCCCCATCCCCACCCCTCCCATCCCCCTCATCCTTCCATCCACTCATCGTCTGTCCACTTTTCCTTCCGTCACCTGTCCACCCATCCATTCAGCAGCTACGAAGGACCCCATGTTTTCAGGGACCAAAGTCCTCTGTGAACTATTTGCCAGTGCTGTGAGGACACAGGGTTAGACTCTCCAGGTCCCCAGATGGGAAGCTGAGTGACTCATGCCTCTAGATTCTGAGTGGTACATGCCCCCAGCGGCTGTTTCAGTGCTCAGTGCCAACCCCGATGGCTCCCTGCTCAGCCGCCCCCTCCTCCTCGGCTCTTCTGACCCCTCCATCACCGTCCTTGACCTCCTGAGCGGCGCACTGCCCCCACTCCATGCTGGGCACAGTGAGTACAGCAGTGAGGACAGGCAGGGACGCACGCACAGAGGGTGAGGACGGGCCGGGCCTTTCCGCCGAGGGCCCCAGGAGGCGACCCCTCCACCCGGGCTGTGGGAGAGCCTGGTCACTCCGCTGAGAGACAGAGGGGCACAGGGCCGGGTTTGCTCAGGAGGTGTGTGCGTGTCCTGTGGGGACGTGCACCTCTGGGGCCCTCCCCCGTGACAGGCCTCAGGTGGCCGCCGGCTTTCCTTGGCTTGTGGCTGCTTTGTGCTGCCAACACCAGGGCGGGTCTCTGGTCACCTTGTGCTCTGCCTTCCTGTGTCACCTGCTCCTCCACGGACACACCCCACCTCCCTCTCATGGGGACTCGGGCCTTTGCCTTTAGCGTCCCCCAGACAATTGATGACGATGGTCTCCCCTCTTCATTCATTGGAGCCTTCTTTTCACTTCCGGAGGACGCCGCCAGAGCTTGCAGGTGCCGGGGTTCACGTGCAAGTGTCTGTTGGAGCCGGGTGAGGAGCGATCTGCACCTTCTGCAAGGTGCAACATCCGGGAGCTCTGTTCTCGCTGCTTCCCCAAATTTCAAGTCCCCCAAGGTGCAGGAAACATATATTTTCCTACGTGCTTTTGATTCCTCTCCATTTAGCATAGCGCGTTGGGCATTGCATAGGTCCCATAATAATGTGCAGTGTGCGTGAGAGGCTGAGATCCCGCCTGCCTGCGGCATCCTTGCCTGACAGTAAAGGGGCGTAATGCTGTCTTTCCAGGAATTCAAAGGGCTGCAGGAAATACTTCGGTCAATAATAATAAGGGCTAATTCTTTGAGTGATTCTTGGATGGCAGGCTGTGTGCCAAGGATCATGATTTCTGTGAATTTGCAGATAAACCCGTGGGTTAGATGGCAGCTGAGGATCAGAAGCGTGAAGGGGGTGGGGTCCGAGTTAGGATGTCAAGGCCACGCTCTGGGCCACGCTGCACGCTGTGGGTGATTCTGTTTCTGCCCTCAGCTCGGTGGGCTGCAGGGCAGAGAGCAATGGGATCTCCTTGTCCGTGTGCTCAGTATTTGCCGGACAAATGAATCAGTGCACGTCAGGTTTAATTTTCTCAGCCTTAATTTTGCCAGCAGCAGTTCTCAGTGACCCCAGAGGGACTGAGATAGATTTTAATTCCAGGACGGCCAAGGGAGTTGGGGCTGATCTGTGGGTGTTGTTCATGGTCTGGTCATCCCCTGGTTGCTGATCGTCATGGAGTTCTGTCAGGGCCTGGAGGTGGCCGTTGGCCTTCTAGGAGTAAGACAGTAGGTGGTTCTAGAACGGCCCCTGGGAAATGGCGACCAAAGAGGGGGAAATGTGTAGAATAAAGACAGACGGACACTGTCCTCCCTGAGTGAGGCAACTGTGGTGTTCTGTGAATGTGCTATTGAGCTGAAATTTTGATGCCAGACGCCACACTTAAGGGAGGTAGCGGAGGATGTCGTAGGCGCGGAGGCGCAGGAGCAGGAAGCCAGCTTGGATTTGTTGGGACCAAGGACTCGAAGTATTTCTATGCAACATTGTCATTTATTGGAAAAATCTGTTGTAGGAAGACGTAAGGGAGCCTCCAGTATCCAGAAGCAAGGCGTCTCAAGCGTGGGCTTTGGGGTCCTTGTAGGCACAGGTAACATAGGGTGTGCTCACCTTCCAGAAATGAGGAATCTGTGGGCGAGGGAGGCCTGCACTTGAGTGCGGACACACCCGGGGGAAA